GTGTGTGTGTGTGTGTGTGTGTGTGTGTGTGTGTGTGTGTGTGTGTTTGGTAGGGGAGTAGAGCATGGAGGCAAGGGACAGGAGTGGAGAGAGAAAGAGCACAGTACAGTAGTGCAGTACAGGAAATTTAACATTGGTGTTTCTTTGGAGTGCAGATTTCTTCTAGAATTCTTTACATAAAGTCAAATTTGGTAATGCGAATTTACTTAAAGCAATCTGGGTCACAGTTCTGAGGAGGGGTCCTGGGGCAAGGAGGAGTGCTGGCCTGGTGGAGCTTGTGGTGGCAGTGGAGAGAAAACATCTCGCCCCTTATCATACCATCTTGGAAGAACTGAAAATTTTCAGATCCCTAGAAGTATCTCTGAAAACAGCTGTACAAACCCCCGAAGCTTGGGACAGTACATTCTCCACATTGGAAACAGACTTTTACCTTAACAAAGAGTTTAAAACTCAAGTAATTGGCCGGGATCATGAGTAAGCAGCACAAAAAGAGTCAGACTATATTATCTTACTTTGGTGACAAAGAAGATCAAAACGTACAACTAGAAGAAGACAACGAAGCCAGAGCTCCTACATCCAAAGCCTCCAAGAAAAATATGAATCAGTCCCAGGCCTTGGAAGAGCTCAGAAGGGATTTTGAGAAGCAAGTAAGAGAAATAGAGGAAAAAGTGGGAGTGATGCAAGAAAATCATGAAAAACAAGTCAACAGCTTGCTAAAGGAGACCCCAAAAAATACGGAAGAAAATAACCTTAAAAAAAAGCCTAACCCAAATGGCAAAAAAGGTCCAAAAAGCCAATGAGAAGAATGCCCTAAAAAGCAAAACTGGCCAAATGGAAGAGGAAGTCCAAAAGATTACTGAAGACAATACTTCCTTAAAAATTAGAATAGAGCAATTGGAAGCTAGTGACTTTATGAGAAATCAAGACACTGTAAAACAAATCCAAAAGAATGAAAAATTAGAAAACAATGTGAAATATCTCACTGGAAGAACAACTGACCTGGAAAATAGATCCAGGAGAGAGAATTTAAAAATTATTGGACTATCTGAAAGCCATGATCAAAAAAAGAGCCTAGACATCATCTTCCAAGAAATTATCCAGGAAAACTGTCCTGATATTTTAGAACCAGAGGGCAAAATAGAAATGGAAAGAATCCACTGATCTCCTCCTGAAAGAGATCCCCAAAGGAAAACTCCTAGGAATATTGTAGCCAAATTCCAGAGTTCCCAGGTCAAGGAGAAGGTATTACAAGCAGCCAGAAAGAAACAATTCAAGTATTGTGGAAACACAATCAGGATAACAGAAGATTTAGCTGCTTCTACATTAAGGGACTGCAGGGCATGGAATATAATATTCTGGAGAGCAACGGAGACAGGATTACAACCAAGAATCACCTACCCAGCAAAACTGAGTATAATCCTGCAGGGGAAAAAATGGTCATTCAGTGAAATAGAGGACTTTCAAGCATTCCTGATGGAAAGACCAGAGCTGAATAGAAAATTTGATTTTCAAATACAAGACTCAAGTGGAACATGAAGAGGTAAACAGGAAAGAGAAAATCATAAGAGACTTATTAAGGTTGAACTGTTTACATTCCTGCATGGAAAGATGATATTTGTAACTCATGAGACTTTTGTCAGTATTAGGGTAGTTGGAGGGGAAAAAATTATATGTACACATATAAAGATATAGATAGATAGATAGAGGGCACAGGGTGAGTTGAAAATGAAGGGGTCATATCTGGAGAATAAAATTAAGGGGTGAGAAAGAATTATGGTAGGAGGAGAAAGGGAGAGGTAGAACAGGGTAAATTATCTCACAAAAAAAAACAGAAAAGAAAAGGCACTTACAGTGGAGGGGAAACAGGGGAAGGTGAGAGGGAATGAGTGAATCTTATTCTCATAGGATTTGATTTAAAGAGGGAATAACATACACACTCAATTGGGTGTGGAAATCTGTCTTACCCTACAGGAAAATAAGGGGGAAAGGGGACAAGAGAGTAGGGGGATGATAGAGAGGAGGGCAGATTGGGAAAGGGAGTAATCAGAAGCAAATACTTCTGAGGAGGGACAGGGTCAAAAGAAAGAATAGAATAAATGGTTGGGCGGGATAGGATTAAGGGAAATAGAGTTAGTTTTTCACAGCATGTCTACTATGGAAGTGTTTTGCATAATTGCACATGTATAACCTATATTGAGTTGCTTGCCTTATCAATGAGGGTGGGTGGGGAGGGAGGAAGGGAGAAAATTTGGAACCCAAAGTTTTAAAAACACATGTTTAAAAAAAAATGTTTTCACATGCAACTGGGAAATAAGAAATACAGGAAATGGAGTACAGAAATCCATCCTGCCCTACAGGAAAAATTGAAGGGGAAGGGGATAAGAGAAGGGGGATAGAGATAGAAGGGAAGGCAGACTAGGGGAAGGGGTATTCAGAATGCATGCCATCTTGGGGTGAGGGGAGGGGCGAGATGGGGTGAAAATTTGGAACTCAAAATCTTGGGGAAGAAAATGTTGAAAACAAAAATAAATAAAAATTGCCATGAAAATAAGTAAATAAAAATTTAAAAAAAAGAAAAGGAACAAAAATGAATAGATGACTGTTCTCTTCTCTAACTCTAAGATTGACAAGTAAGCTTGTTTTGAACTCTCATCCATCCTTTAAAGCTCAGTTTGGCTGCTGTCTCCTCCATGAAGCTTTCCTTGATCCATCCCTCTGTAACAATTCCTCAGAGCTTCCAAAGCACATTCCTTCTCACTTCTCTGTTGCATTTTTATCATCCTATTTATCTGTTGTATTCCATTTGACTTTGAGCTCTAAAAAGGCAGGGTCTCTGAACTTTATAGCACAGTGCTCTGCACATAGTAGTTACTTAATAACTATTTGATAAATCAAATCACCAGGTATTTATTGGTTTTCTCCTCTGTGTTGGGCATTTTGCCCAATATTTAATGATTATTTTAGATCTGGGAGTTTAGATGGTGTTTGAAGCCTGGCTTTCAAGCTAACTGAAGTACACGATTTCTGGTATTAAAAGCCTCTTTACTCTTACAAATTAATCACTCTGTGTCTATAAATGCCATTCTGACCCGTTTATATGTAGTTCTGAAACATTTCTTCAGGCTGCAAAAATACGTTCCAACAAACAAAATACTCCTCAGCCTTTCCACACTTATTGGAGTCTAAAAGCCCATGCAATACAATGCATGTCAGTGCATTTGGGGCTTTGTGGCGGCTAGTGGAGCAGCAACTCAGCCTAGATTGGAGCTGTTTACCTTGCTCTAAATCCTTTTTCCAAATGTATTTTTTAATTCTGCATTTTAATGACACTGCCAAAACAAAGAGCATTTCCATATACAAAGTAGAACGGGGAAAAGGGTATTCTTTGTGAAACCATAAATCTCTCTTTTGAACAGCTTAATTTTTAAAGAATATAATAAATCCAACATGTTGTACTTTCACAGCTGTCCTTCTTGTTTATGTTTCCTCCTGAACTTCAGTTCTTTTCTGTGCATTTTAGACAATTCTTCAGTGGCTCTTTTTTTTTCCTCTTTCTCTCTCTTTTCTGACAGTACTTTCCTTTCTCCTGAAATCTCACCCACCCCAAATAAGAAAAGAAAACTATGATCCTTGGAGCATAGGCAAAGAGAATAAATCCATATATTGGCGCTGTCAGCCTGTGTCCTGTTCTGAGCCCTGTGTTCCCCACCGTGCTGGTAGGGGTGGGGCAGCAGCGGGTTTTATTATCCATCCATCTTTTGCAGGTGTAGCTGGTCGTTGTCTTTGCCGTGATGTTGTTACCATGTGTAATGTTCTCCTGGCTCTTCTCACTTCCCCTCAGCATCATTTCATACAAGTCTGCCCACACTTCTCTGAAAATATCCCCTTCAACATATCTTTCTGTGTCAGAAACCTTAAAAAACCTTTGACCCCCCCCCCCCCCAAAGGACTTGCAGTCTGTTTCTTGGTGATGTGACTTCTAAGTCAGGTTCTGTACTGGCCAGAAGAATGGCCAGTGGTTCCTGAGGTAAATTGCATTGGGACATTAACATATTTGGGCAAGTAAAGTCTTAGCAAATTGTTTTAAATCAAGTATATTAATTTTTGATGTTTTTTAACTGTGCTATGCATTTTGGGGGCTCATATTTGAAGGACTTACTATGACTGCTGGAATTAGGTATAAGAATAAGGAGAATGTATAAAACTTACACAGTTCGGGAACATCCCTACATGAATCCTTTTTCCTTCATCATTTTTTGAATATCTGCTGTATACAAAGCACAATTTATGTTTCCCAGGGCATATGGAGATATGGCTATAGAGGTCTTTCATTTTTTTATTCTGAGAAGTTTTAGAAATAGATTTGAATGAGATTTTAATTTAATACACAGAAACACAAAACTGTGTTATCAATTAGTAATGAGAAGATGAGGGAGACATTTTTAACAGGTTTAAACTAAGAGGTAATTGTTTTTCTCTTGACAGACCTCCGTGAGAGACAGCCTTCAGAGAGAAGCCTTCAAGAAGCAAGTGATGAAGCAGGTACGAGGAAGAAATACTCATAGTGCATCGGGCAAAGTCAGAATCTCTGCTTATGTTTTCATATCTTGTCTGCACATGTGGTGATTGGTCCAACACTTAAGACTTACTTCAGTGAATAACAGGAGTCCAGAGAAGGCTTCCCATGTCAATGTTGGAGGAAGTCCTTGTTGGACGAGCTAATTCTTTGCTGTTGGACTAGGACAGATAAAGCCATTTTTGGCTTTTGGATGACTTAGCAGTATGAGAAATGGATCTCTTAGTTTAATGATTTCTGCTCTTGAACCAACATACTGAAAGTGAGAAACAGCATTCCTCTTCTCAAAGTGATTTCAGAGTTTCAGCCTCTTTGAAATAGATCTATTAAAGAATTATATTCATTCTAAGTCGTTCTGAGTATTCAGTGGTTAAAATACTGAAGAGCGAGCTTGCTAATAGAGTGAATGTTTCTTGCTTTCATGACAGTGTTAGGTTGAGGGTTTTTTTAATTCATTTGTCTCAATGTTCACTAAGTGCTTGTGGTTCTCCCTGTATCTTTTTTAAGGACATATCTTTCCCCTTTTGCCCTAGGGCTCATTCAGGCAAGTGGGCAATGAGAAGACCCTCCAGCTTCAGGGGCTGCCTGGCCCCATGCCTTTCCCTCTCACATCTTCTCCTAACCTCAGGTCATACTGGATGGTAAAGAACCCCTAGCAGTCTCACCTGATTTTCTGACCCTGGGCCTTGCCTTCCATCCTGCCATCATGCCTTTCAGACTTCTGGCCTCCCCATTCCTTTCCTGGCCCAACTTCTGGCTCTCTAGACTTTACTATGCCTCAATCACCTTTTTACCTTGGAGGTTCCTTCATTGTCTGTGGCCTTGCCCTTGAACATCCCTCTGCTCCTTAGCGTCTTATTAGTAAGCCTCCATGGGAGGAAGGGCCCAGACTCTCCTTGTTGCCTTCACCTCCTGGCTCTGATTCCACAGACTTCCCAACCATGCGTCTCTTGGGGCACTCCCTACTCTCCCTCACTTTTACTTCCTTTTCATATGCCATTGGAATGTAAGCTCTGTGAGAATAGTCACTATCTTTACTTTTGCTTGTATCCATATCTCCAATACCTGGTAGCACAGTGCCTGGCTATGTAGTTAAGTATCTAATAAATGCTTGTTGACTGACCTTTTTAAATCAAGTGTCACCTTCCATTAGAGTCTGAGCCCCTCGAGTACAGGGACTGACTGTTTTGCTTTTTCTAGTTGTATCCCCAGCACTCCCTATGTAATAAATGCCTTTTCATTCCTTCCTTCCTTCCTTTATTCTACAAATTGTCATCATTATTGTTCTTATTTACCCATGTAAACATTTGTTATCCAAAAAATGTAAGACATTATTGCCAGGTAGGCATTTGAGGAATCTGCAAGACACAGATTAAATTTAATCTCTGTCCTCTGCAAATTTATAGATTGGAAGTAACTAGAATGGGTGAATAGTCTGCCAGAGTTGTAGCTTTACCACAGTTCATTAAATCTCTATAAACAGGTCAGCTTATATAGTTGTCAGGCATTTTTTAAGGGTCTTTTGTGTGCTGGTCATTGCTAAATGCATAGTAGTAACAGGTTCAGTGGTGATGGTAAAGTTCTTCTTTTTTTCTTTTGGTGACTTAATAAAAGGCTTTCCAGAAGACTAGGATTTTTATCTAGTCTTTAAAGGTTAGGGGAGATGCAGTTTGGTGAAAAGGAAAAGGGGGAAGGTTTTTGAAGCTTATGCCACCAGCTCTGTAGAGACCAAAGGTTCAGAACAGTGATTGCAGGTCATCAGTCATCCTCCCTTGAAGTAAGCCCTGGTACCTCGTTGTGATGTGGCAGTGACCCAGACCTGTACAATTGGAAAGGCTCTGAACCAGAGCTGGGCTGTGAGCTGTTTGCTTTTATCAGTCAATCAAACATTTATTAAACACCTACAATAGGCCAGGCCCTGTACTAAGCACTGGGGATAAAATATAAGCTAAATGAAAGACAAGTCCTGCCTTCAAGGAGCTGACATTCTACTGGGGGAAGACTAACATATCAAAGGGATCTAAAAAGGGAAGAGTGGGGGAAAGGGCACCTGGCAGGGGGAGGGGAGGAGAATGATGGCCAAGTCCACCAAATGAAGCTTAGCTGGCCTGGGCCTTTCCTCAGAATGGAGGTTCCAGTGGAAGAAAGGGTCTGTAGGGGTGCAGTTAAGTCTTTGAATTGCGTAGCTGTATGGAGCTAGAAATATGCAGACCAGTTCAAACAACAGTTCTTGTCATCTGTTATGTTTAGAACACTGTGCTAGACTTTCTGAGATATGTATAAATACACATATCAATCAATCAGTAAATAATTATGAAGTGCCTACTATGTGTGTGAGTAACTCCACATGGAGTAAATGTAAAGTTGACCAGTGGCATAGTGACAATCTCCCAGAGCTTGGGAATCATAGGTTTATGGGTGGTAGAAGACCTTGGAAATCCTTTCAGAATATAGTTTTTACTTCAGAAAGCAACAGAGAGCCGGTACAAGATTTTAAAGAGTAGGACAAAGATTGATGATGTACACAAAGAAAATGATTTTGGTCACAAACATGGGATTGAGAAAATAGGCCTGGGGAAAACCCCTGAAAGTTTTCATCTGTAAATAGCGTTGTAAAAAGTTTTGTAGTATAAATGATGGCATTCTCCTAGAAAAAAATCATTAATCACCAGATATTGAGGCCCTGCCACACCCAGTGTGCTGGGCTAACCACAAAGGGAAATAGAGAGATTTTTAAAAAATTCCTGTCCTCAAGGAGTTGTAGGCCAGTATCCAGTTGTAAGTAAAAGTTGTTTTTTGGTCTTTTTTTCCAGGGTTGTTTTTTTTTTAAATAATATTTTCCCCCAATTACGTGTAGAAACAATTTTTAACATTCATTCTTTTTTTTTTTAAGTTTTGAGTTCCAAATTCTATCCCTCCTTCCATCCCCTCCCCTCTCCCTGACACAGTAAACAATCTGTTATAGATTATACACGTGCAGTCATGTAAAACATTTCAACATTAGTCATTTTGTGGAAGAAAACTCAAAAAAAGAAAGAAAAAAGAGAAAAATATAGTATGTTTTGGTCTATATTCAGATGGTTTTCTGGACTTTTCTAGGGACTTAGTAATGACTTAAGTGTTACCAGGTGAGCTTGAGCTCTCATATCCAAGAATTTTAATTCTATGACAGATTACATTGATTTAAGAAATCTTAGAATTTTGAGAATTGTGCATACCCAGATGATACAGAAACCTTCCCACGGATTGGTGACGTTCAGAGTTATTTTAGGTTTACTAGGAAGCAGTGCTTTATAAGAAACAAGGGGCTCATTAAGACTTTTTTGTCAAGATCGCCTTCAGGATTTGGAACATTTTGAGTTACATATTTTTTTATTCCATCTTTATTAGATATATTTTTTAAAAAGGACCAAGGCTCCAGTCCAAAAGATGTTTAATTTACAAGATGTGTAAGGTAATCTCTGTACAACTAGTTGTGTTTATAGTTATTTATATCCTTGTAACTAAGGGTATTTTCAGAGTTACATGAGATGAGAAATTGACCTTGTGCCAGTCTGGCATAGATCATAAGACCATTGATTTAGAGCTGGAAGGGACCTAAAGGGGCATGGAAATGAAACCCCGAGAGATTAAGTGGCAGTGATGGAGCTGGGAAGTAAACCGAGGCTCTTTGATTGCAAGTCCAGCATTATTCATCAAGAGGGTCTCCAAAATCCATTAGCTCTCATTTTTCACCAGCCCCTTCCACATATAAATCCCGTAAGTCTCTTTGTGGTGGCTTTTAAGGACCTTCCTTTTTTCACTCCTTCCTCTTGTGGTCACATTGAAGAGAAATCTTACAACTCAGCAGTAACAGTCAGAAGGAAAATACTGTATGTTGTGTACTAGATATGTTGCTTTTAAACTAATGTTCTTATTCGCCCATACCTGTGAGTATTTTTAGGCCCTAAATTACATAATGCCCCCCCCAAATAAAAGTAAACCACTAGTTTTCAAATGTTAAAATAAGCAGTGACTTATCTCTCTAGTGTTTTAAATATGGTTTATGTGAACGTACGTCATACTTGAGAATGTAGTAGAGTGCCAAACTAGGTTAACCAGTTTAATACATAAAGAGCAGGGGAAACCTTAAACAGTATTCCTGGAAACAGTCATTTTATTTTTAAGAAAATAGGAGCTTCTTATTGGTGTTGAAATAGTTTTTTGTGGACACTACTTTTGTTGTTCCAAGTGATTTTAATGGCATTCGTTTAGTAAGTATTTGTTGAGTACCCGGCCTGGGACTTCAGCACAAGTCTGACTTGACTCTGCCGTTTGGGACTGGGAAATGGAATTCACTGAGTACCAAAATGTGTGTTTATTTCTTTGGGAGGGTCACCTGGCTCTCAAGCTCATAATAGAACTTCTCTGCATGTTTGCCCGCGATAGCGGATGTCAGAGCCCATTGAGAAACTGCTGTTATTTTTCAGCAGATCATTTCTTGTGAACTGAGATTCTTAGCATCCTCTGTCCCTTTTTCTACCACCTCAACGCTGACATGGCATAAGTGATAGAGGGCTACACAGGGCTGAGGCCATTATTATATTTTTCTTTGTTCAGTTGTTCTTTGCCATTGCCAAAGAAGCCATCACCAAGTGGGCAGTCTACTGGTGATGAGTCTTTTTCACATTTAGCTTGCCTACCCCTTTTAATAATGATGGTGATCATCATGAAGATAATAATAACTAGCATTTATAGAGTGTCTGCTGTGTGCCAGGCACTGTGCTAAGTGTTTTTGTTTTTTGTTTTTTACAAATATTAGATCCCCACAACAGCCCTGGGAGGCAGGTGCTGTTATTATCCCCGTTTTCCAAGTGAGGAAACTGAGGCAGACAGAGGTTAAGTGACATGCCCAGGATCATACAGCTAGTAAGTGTCTGAGGCTGGATTTGAAATTAGGTCTTCCTGACTCTAGGCCCAGGTTCTA